TTCTTCTTCTTCTTCTTCTTCTTCTTCTTCTTCTTCTTCTTCTTCTTCTTCTTCTTCTTTTCTTTTTTTTTTTTTTTTGTATTTTGAGACACTGTAGCCAAGTATCTGAGGCTGTCCTGGAACTCACTGAGTAGACTTCGTGTCTCAGCATCTTGAATGTTGGGGCTACAAGTGTGAGCCATCACATCCAGAGATGGGGTCTACCCATCTCCACTGTTGGGAAGAAACAACTGGGATATGGGAAAGATTCCCTGGGCAGAAGTACCCAAACTGTTCAATTGTACATCAGTTCATTTATTTTTAGCTTGGGGAAGGGGAGGTGTAGACTAGTGTGGTCTGAAATGTCCACTCATTCAGTAAATACTTTTTGAGCACATGGCTAGACGCTGCCCAAGGCCAGCGTTTTCAAAATCTTCTTCTAATGACCAAATCATATGATGTGTGTAAAAATCCAGAATGTTTGGAACTCTGAAAAGTGGGTGGGCTTAGGGAAGGGAAGTGACTCATCTAGAGGAGATGATGAGGCTCTTAAGCCCTCTAGGCGATAGCTTATTGGCTGGGACAGTTGGGAGTCCTGGGTAGGATGGGTAGATAGTAACTGGCCACTCGACCTTAAGGAACCTCTCAGGAGTTTTCCATCAGACTCAGACTGGAGGCAGTGACTACAGAACAGGGGGTCTCCATCTTGCAAGGGCTATCACCACAGAAGGAGCAGCAGGAAAGGAGACATAAAGAGTTGGACGGGAATCTCGGTCTTGCTTCTTCCTCTGGGCTGCTGGGATCACAGCCCTGTATGCTGCCATTCTGGTGTAGGCAGTGCTGGGGCTTGAACCCACGACGAACCTACGGTAGGTGAGGCTGACACTGCCCAATTACATCCCCAGATGTGGTAATTGCATTCAGAGTTAAGTCTACCGTAAAAAAGGGCAGTTTGCCCTGGTGAAATGGCTCAGTTGGCAAGTGACTGCTGCCGAGCCTGACGACCTGAGTTTAATCCCTGGGACCCACATGGTAACAGGAGAAAACGGACTCCTGCAGGTTCTCCTCTGACTTCCACAAGCACACACACACACACACACACACACACGCACGCACGCGCGCACACACACACACACACACACACGCACACACAATGTAAGAAGGGGAGTTAAGTTTAAAAAAGGAAAAAGAAAAGACAATTTCCTTGGGGGAACATAGGGTTTTCTCATTTCCAAAGGGACTGGAAGACATCGCAGAGTTCCCAGTGTCCTCAAAAGAGCACTCGCCTGGAACTCCCTGGGGTTAGTCTCCCATGTTGGGTTCACTAGGGTCCATTGTGAGCCTCTCTCTACTTCCTGCTGATGTGGATAAGGCACTAAGACTTCTAGTTCTGGCCAGTTCCCACAGTCCGTGATCTCTTTGGAAGCAGGCTGGAGAGTTAGGTGGATGGGACATTTTGGGTGAAAAGAAAGGTATGGTTGTAATACTGAGTAATGATTTTCCTTGTAGCAGGAAATGGTCTGAAATTTTTTGGAGCAGAAGTGTCAGTGTTGAAATATAGCTAAGTCTCCGGCCTACCAGACCAAAGTGGCAGCCTCCAGCAGGACTTGCACGAGGCTAATGCACACATCTTATTTCAGAGTGCCACCTGAACTGTGAAATTAGGAAATGCAGCTCAGGAGACTCAGCTAAGCATGCAGCTGAAGCTGGTGCCTCTTCCTCTATCCTTCCTTTCACCATCAAACCCTTCTTCCCCAGGGTCTCACTATATAGCTCTGACTGGCCCAGAACTTATTATGTAGACCAGGATGGCCTCAAAACTCAGAGATCTGTCTACCTCTGCTTCCTGAGTGCTGAGATTAAAGGTGTGAGCACCACCTCCAGGGTGTTCTCCAATTCTTTTGTTTTTTTGTTTTGGTTTTCTGAGACAGGGCTTTTTTGGGTGACAGCCCAAGCTGTCTGGAAGCTCATTTTGTAGACCAGGCTGGCCTCGACGACAGAGATTCATCTGCCTCTGCCTCCTGAGTGCTGGGATTGAAGGCACATGCCATCATGTCTAGCACATGTTCTCCAATTTGCAAATGATTTTCTTGTTTACTTTAATCTCTCTCCATATAGATATTATATAACAATCATATTATTTTTTTTTTGTTGAATTGTTTGAGAGCTAACTGCAGATGTCATAACACTTTAACCTCCAAGTACTTCAGTAAGTGTGGACATCTCCTTATGCAACCCTAATATAATTGCATTCAGTAAGACTCACATTGCTCGGCCACTCAATTTATCACCCATTCATAAGTTTCTCGATGACCCCGATAGTTTCCTCAACAGAGCTGACTTCTTCTCCCAGTTAGCCTTCAACCATCTCTGGTTCCTCCTTGGAATTTAGTTGTCATCTTCTCTATTATTTCAATCTATTACTTTGTTTTGTTTTTAACGCTGTCTGACACAGAGTCTTAAACTTGTTGCTTAAGCTGCCCTGAAACTCCCTATGCATGATTGGCCTCACACTAAAGCTGATCTTCCTGCCTCTGTCTCTCAGATTCTGGGATTACAGTTGTGAGCTACCATTGCTTCAATCTAGGTGTCACTAGGGAAGTCACTTTACAGCTCAGGCCGGCCTTCAACTCGCCTCCCAAAGTGCATGCAACCACACCCAGCAACTCTAACTGTTTTCATTTAAAATTTAGTGTGTGTGTGTGTGTGTGTGTGTGTGTGTGTGTGTGTGTGTGTGCACGCACATATGTGCACGCATGCCGTGGCTCAAGTGTGGAAGTCAGAGGACGCACCTTGGGACAATGGGACCAGGTGTTCTTAGGGATCGAACTCAGGTCCTCAGGCTTTGGTGGCAGGTAATTTTACCTGCTGCCCTCTTGCTGGTCCGGGCATTGGTCTTTTTGAAGGGCACGGGGCCAGTCATTTTGTAGCAATGTCCTTTGGTCTGGTGCGTCTGACGCTGTTCCTTATGATCACATCAGGTGATGCATTTCAGGAGGGAGGACACTCGCAGAAGTAAAGTTGGGTGCGTTTTAGTTCATCCTTCAGAAGGCACATAAGTGTGCTAACTCCAGTTAAGTAGGAGCTTGCCAGACTTCTTCCTTGTAATCTTGCCATGTTTTCCCCTTCAGAATTAACAAGTAAATCTAAGTTTTCAAGCCAGAAGCCCATGTTTGGGCAAGCTTATTTCTCAAGTGTGCTTTAAAGGCTGGTGGCATGCTTGGCCTTGGCATGGTCTCTGGTTGGGGATTTTGAAAACGGGGCTCTGGCCTAGGGCTCTGCCGCACACAGCAGCTTTCTGTCTATGCTCACGAGGACAAAGAATTCTGTGCATGAATGCTTGCCTCAGAGCTGGAATACCATGTGCTGTTTACCAGCCTCTGAACCGCCCTGTGGCGTCAGGCAGCTTCAAGGGCCTCCTGAGACTGAATGCTGCTTGCAGAGTAGCAGCCTTGTGCCACAGCAAATGTGTGGGGGAACGTTCTGCTGAGCAGGGTGGTTTCAGTTCCCCATAAATGCCTCTGGTTTTTTTCCACAACAAGCTTGAGGTCTGGCAGGCACGGGAAGGCTTTCCAGTAGGAGGGCTGAGATTGGAAAGGGTTACAGATGGAGAATCCTTCTTCTTCCCCCCCCCCTTTGGACAGACAGGTCCTTCTAGTGCACAGCGTGCTTTATCTCAGAACATCTCACCCTGTGTTCTCAGCTCCACCCAGGAAAGCAGGCACGATCCACTGCATTGTACAGTCCAGAGAGGCGAGGCTTTCGGTTGTCAACACTGCAGAGTGGCCTCAGCTCAGAGCCTGGAAGGGGTGGTCCAGCCTAGTGAAATCAAAGCTGTTAGAGTTAGGAAGGAAGGAAGGAAGGAAGGAAGGAAGGAAGGAAGGGAGGGAGGGAGGGAGGGAGGGAGGGAGGGAGGGAGGGAGGGAGGGAGATTTAATTTTGAGGAGGGGGGTCATGAAGAAACAGGAAGTGTCTCTTGAAATCTGTGGGATCTTACACATTTTCTCATCTCTGAAAGTATTAAGGTACTAATAATAACAACTAGAGCCAGGTATGATGGACCATGCCTTTAACTCCAGCAACAGGCAGGCGGAAGCAGGTTGATCTCTGTGATCAGGGCCAGCCAGGTTTACACAGTGGGCTCTAGGCAAGCCAAGGCTACTCGGTGAGACCTTGTCTCAAAACAAAGAAAATAAATAACAAAATAACAAAACCCAATAACTGGGGCTGGAAAGGTGACTCAGTAGTTAGGAGCACTCACTGCTCTTGCAGGTGACCTAGTTCAGCACCCATATGGCCATCTGTCATCACCTGTCAATCCAGTTCCTGGGGATCTGACACCCTTCAGGCTTCCTGAGACTAATGCATTTATACTAGATGCACATACACTCTTGAAGGTTCACAGACATACACATAAATCAAAACACTAAATCCTGAATCCTGGAGCTAGAGAGATGGCTCGGTGGTTAAGGGCACTTGCTACTTCTCTGGAGGATCTGGGTTTAGCTCCTAGCACCCACAAGTCAGTTCACAACGATCCAAAACTCT